GCTCCAGGCACCATTAATTTAAGCGTTTCGATCTGGTTGCTTTGCTGCTCTCTCCTTTAATCAAAGGTCAGCTGTCAGCCCCGTTGCTGGGCTCGATCTGCCTCCTAGATTGACGACATCTCAGTGACACTGCGGAGTCTTTGGTGGAGATCCCGGAGGGTAAATCGAATTGCCGAGCAGTTGAAGGAGCCAGCGGAGGGCAGGGGCGCTGGCTCGCGCATCCATCGCCCGCGGCAGGGCAGGCTCAGAGGTGGAGAGGCCCCGCCGGCCTCCCCAGGCCCTGGGGCTGAGAAACGCTGGCTCTGGGGGTTTTCCACTACCTGCCCTGCCCCGCACCCCACATCTTTAAACCTTTTTTTTTATTGTGGGAAAAGACGCAACATAAAATTTACCATTTAAATTATTTTAACATACAATTCGATGATAACTAGCCCATTCCCGATGCAGGGCAAATATCACCTCCGTCTAGTTCCAGAGCATCCTCATCACCCCAGAAGGAGCTCCCCTAGCCCCTCTGCAGTCACCACCCCACCCCAGCTCTACTGGCGCCACCACAAACATGCTTTCTATCCCTCTGGGTTTGCTATTTCCTATTCTGGACATTTCCAGACTCCACTTACGTGGCTCCAGGTTACCAGACGCACGAAGCGTGGCCTTTATGTCTGGCTTTGTTCTCTTAGCACATATTTTTGGGGTTCATCCACACTGATGTGTGTCTACGGCTGACCAACACGCCGCTGCGGACACCGCTTATCCCTTCCCCGGCGATGGCCACGGTTCCCTCCACCCCAGCGAGTAAGCGGCTGTGCAGGCTGCTGCCCCGGGCTTTGTTTGAACACAAGTTTTCAGGCCTTTGGGGTATGTGCCTAGGAGCGGGCTTGCCAGACCCAATGGTAATTTGATGCTTGCACTTTTTGAGGAGATGCCAGGTTCCTTTCATGGTTTCTGCCCCCTCGGGCTCCTGGCACCTCTAAATGCTTCCCGGTGCTTCCGCTGGGCTGACACGCGCCCCTTCCATTACCTTGGAGACAGGCGCTCAGAACCTCCCGCTGGACAGGAACTGGTCTGCTGAACAGGCCAAGCTGTGCTGTTGGGGAAGGGACGTCTTGTCCAGCCAAGCGCGGTCTCATGGGGGCCCTCTGAAGCAAAGCTCTTCCTTCATCTTTGTAGCTCACCCAGGGGAGGGCTGTGAGGACCTGCCAGGAGGGAGCCACATGGGCCGGGTGGAGCTTTATCAACCCCGGGCACTACTGTGTTCCCACACCAAGGCTGTCCAGTCCCCGCCATGTTTTCCAGCCCTCGGGGAATGACTGAAGAGCTGGGGTACTACGTCCGGCACTTTAATGGGGTGCTTGTGAGCTTATAAAGGATGAATGCAAGGTTTTGGACTCCTTGGTCTAGCCCTTCATTCACTCAACACTTAATTTCTTGAGCTCCTTCTGTTGTGCTGGGGTTGGGGCCGCTGTCTTTTGGGGTCACTTTCTGCAGGGACAGCCCCAGCCCTTTCCTTAGCCCCCTGCCCAGAGCGTGGAGCCCAGAGTGGACACATAAGGAGAAAGCCAGGTGAAGCAAATCTGTTTGCTAACCCTTTCTACCGCTCGTGAAGACTGGTGTGTGTGGTGTTTGCTTTGCTACCTGGTAGAGACTGTTGTGGGGAGGGGGGCTGTATGGTGGGGTCGGTGAGCCAGAGGAGGGCAGGAACAGACAGGCTCCTTACAGCGAGAAGGTCCTTGACTGCAAAATGAGAAGGCAGCGCCATGGACCCAATGACGATGAGAAATGCCAATTGTGCAAGACAGGAAAGCGGGTGGCAGGCAACCCGAGCTGCTCTCCTCCCTCTTCCACCAGGCTGGCCTTCTCATTGATGCAGCCACAAAGTCCTGGGGTCCTATGCAGACCCAGCCCCAGTGAGTGGAGGAAGAGGGGCCCTTTCTTCCTGATGATTCTTTTTCTAGAAGTTTTATGGTTTTACTTTTAAGCTTATGCCTATGAATCGTCTCAAGGTAATTGTTTTGTGTATGGCATGAGGTAGGGATCGGACTTCACTGTTTTTTCCATCCAGATGTTCAGCTTGTTGAAAAGGTTCCCTTTCTCCATAGGTCAAGACTCAATTGCACATGTAGGCGCACAGTGGCTTCTGGGCTCTTGGATCTGGTCTCCCTGTCCATTCGCCTTCCATCTTGCCCATAATACATCGTCTTAATGACTGCTGCATCCAGAAATACTTCCTAGCAGGTTGGGGAATGCCCCTGAATGTGTGTCTCTTTGGGGAGACAACAGCACATCTTCCCTTGTGTCCCCTGGGCCAGAACGCCCTCAGATGCCACTGCAGCCCCACACGGCCAAGGAGAGTGGGGCCAGGGATGAGCGAGCCCATCAGGCTTTCCCGCTGAGAGTCTGGGGCGACTTCCACAAGTCACGTAGAGGAGCAGACCCTTGAACCAGAAAGTTGGAGGGGGAGAAGCCAGACTTTTCAAGAAGTCGGGGGAGGCTGTGGGTAAGAAACCAACAAAGTGTACCCAAGTGGACAAAATGACCCAATGCCAGTCTTGATGGCGACCAGGCTCACAGTGGTGAGCGACGACCCCGGCTGATGACAGCATGGGGCTCAGCGGCACGTGGGCCCCAGCCAGGCAACTCGAGCGGGGTGGAGGGGGGGAGCGGGCCTAGAGCTGTCGACACATCAGCTCATCTGCTTGTTTGTGCTCGAAAACATGGGGATGGCAACGGCTCCGTGTCCCTGGAGCTGCTCAAGTATTTCTTGGGATGGCCTCAAACTGTTCTGCTGGCGCATGTGATGCGGAGGCCGCCTCCTTGGGGACTGGACTCAGTCGTAAATCACGCAGTGCCTGGGCCCTCTCTGCACAGTTGTCAGAGGCTGACTCCTGGCTCCCCCTGGTCCTCAGTAGCCCCGTCTGCCCAAGTTGTTGGTCAGCTCTCTGTGTCCCTGTGGGTCCTGTCCTCCCAGGCCCTCGTTCAGCGCCTCGTTCAGCCCCTCCCTAGAAGAGAAAAGGGGCTTGGAGAGGATTCCTGAGTCTCAGCCGCCGCGGACAGGTGTCTGCGGGAGGGGCAGGCCCGCCCGCCGTCTGTGAGCCTGCTTCTCTGGTTCTCGGCAGTTTGGGTCAGTATGGGGAGGCCGTGGCTTCACGGGTTTCAAGTCCGGAGCCCGGGTCTGAGGAGCTGCTCTTCACGTGACTCGTGGGTTCTAGAAGTCCTGCCGGCCAGGGACCCCATGTTTCTGGGGCAGCGTGCAGTGTTGGCTCACGAGCGCCTGGAAGGCAGGCGTGGAGGCTGAAGCCAGCGTGGACATAGGTCGCTCCCTCTCTGAGCCTCAGTTTCCTCATCGGTCAAGTGAAGAGTCAGTGTTGACCTCGGCAACAGCAGCAAGGCCCGGGGGGTGCTCAGTGAGGTCAGGGCCTATGGGGTTGCTGTTAGTATTTAAAAAAAAAAAAAGATTTATTTTATTTATTTATGCATATAAGAACTGGGGTGCAGGGTGGGAGTGAGAGGGCTCCTCAGAGAAAGTGGGGGGCAGAACAGAGCATCCACTGGAATACACTGCTGTGGGGAGAGAGGCGAATTCTGCTGTACCATGTGGGTCACTCCCTGGTCGGGGATTGAACTCGTGCCTCAGTGGCTGGCGACAGCTTCATAGTGCTGAGACTTAACCCCTTGTGCCACCAGGGAGCCCAGGATTTTGACTCTTTTGGAGAAACAAGCAGCGGGAAGAGGGCTGGGCGAGATACGGGCAGAGCAGGGCCAGAGGGCGGAAGGCGCCCTGCTGGTAGGAAGAGGCCACTCTCCGACCGGCCAGGCGTCCAGGGCCTGTGCTCTGATCCGACCCCTCAGCTGGTCTTGGATCCCCCAAAGAGACGCAGGGGACAGGACAGGATTTCCAAGCCGAGGCTGAGGCGGTGGGGGAGCGCAGCAACCCCGCATTCTTCCATGAAGTGGGCCAGGCCTGGGAGCTCGCCCCGGCGGCACTGGCATGCCAGAGACGAATGGCCCACGGAGGCCGCCGCTTCTGGAAATGGGGAAAATGTGGGTTATCTTGAGTTTAAAAATAAGCATTTCAGGCGGCCTGGGAAGTCGAGATCTGGTGGGCGGCTCGGGTCTGACTCACTCGGACATCCTTGGCCACCTGCTTGGGGTTCCCGGCGTGGGGCAGCACCCCCGGCCACCAGGAGGGGATGACGGTGCCTATCGAAGGCCCTTCTGTGGCAGCTGGGGAGACTTTGCCACCAAGAGCTCAGCCGTTCTGCTGAATCCTACCTGCGTCTCCAGTGCCCCTGGGCGTGGTAGCAGCCTGGCGGAGCCCAAGAACCCTTTGAGGTTATCTTGGTAGAGTCTCTGGGGACGCCCCAGGCCAGAGGTGGGGGGCCCTTGCTCAAGGTGGCCTGGCTCTTTCGGGCCCAGAGCCCTGGGAGTCAGGTCAGGAAGAAGCACCTTCTTTTCCAGGTCCGGCTCCCGGGGGCACAGCAGGTTGGCTTCTTGGGCCTCCCTCTGACTCCTGCCGTGGGACCCAACGGCCAACATCTCCCACCGCCAGCCAGACCCCCCTCCCCAGGAGGCGCCCGGCTTCTGCGGGCTCGGAAGGGCCCTGGGTCAGCGCAGGGCCTCCCTGCGCACCTGCTGTTCCCGCTCCCCAGTGCCCTGCCTCTCGGGTCCTCAAGCCTCCTCAGGCCGACACGTGGCCTCCTCTGACCCCGGCGGCCCCGCCATTCCTTCCTCTGAGCTCCCAGAGCTCCTGGTGATTCCCCTATTAGCACTTATCTCACTGACTCAGAATTACTTGTTCATGTAGCGCTGCTCCCCAGGGTGGGAAGCTCCGGTCTTAGCCGTCTCTGCAGCGCCTAGCCGGGCACCTGACACCAGCAGCGCAGGCGACGCTGCGGCCTGTGGGAGCGCGGGGCCCACTGTCCCCGAGGCCCGTGCCCGCGCCCGTGGCCATCTGGGAGCTGGGCCTGGCTCCTGGCTCCTGTCCCCTTTGCCTTCCACAGCTGGGGCCTCTCCCCTCTCTCCAGCAGCTGGCCCGCCCTGCCCACACGCCTGGGCCAGTCACCGCCTCGCCGGGGAGATTTAAAGAGCCCTTGTTCAGAAGCGCGGGTGACGTCCCAGAGCTTGGCTGCGACGGCGGGCCTGGGCCCCTCGGGGTTCCGCTTGTGCTGGCAGCCCCCAGGCCCAGCCTTCTCCTGCCAGTGCCCGGCCTCGGTCTGGGGCTGGGTCCTTGAGGACACCTGCTGTGTGCCAGGCACCGGCCCTGCTGCCAGTCGCATCGGGTGGCAGCGGCACCCTGGGGAGATGGGGCTGGAGCTGGAGAGAGGCCTCTAGCTCAAAGGGCCGGACAGGGCCTGTGGGGTCACCAGCAAGGGGGCCAGAGAAGCCTGGGGTGGGAGCGGTTGGAGGAGGGGGAGGAGGTGTGTGTGAGGGGCCCTGGGGGGCAGGGGCTGGAGAAGTCACCCTGCCCCGACTGACATGGACCCAGGGTCCTCGGCAGCTATGTCCAGGCAGCACACGCCGTCCTGGGCTCGCGCTTTCCTCAGAGGGGCTGAGAGGTGCGGGGAGCAGGCCTCCTCGCTCTTGGGCCCCCAAACCAGGCAGGCCCACTATGCTGTCTCTTTCATTATTCAGGCACCTTCACTGAGCCCTCTTCCCCCATGTGCTGGGGTGCTGGGGGTGGTTTGGGGCTAAGGCAGCCCCCGGGGGCCCGGCAGGCCAGCGGGGGTGGGGTGGGGGAAGGGCTTTAGCAGAAGGGGTCCGTGCCACAGCCCGCCGCAGGAGAGCACTGCTGGGGGCTAAAGCAACCCCAGACGGCACCGCATCTGATCCCCACACCTTCACCCGCAACCCAGGGATGCGGTGACACGGTGGGCAGAGGACAGCCCTCCTCTGGGGTCGCCAGTGACCTGTGACCCTGAGAGGAGGCCACAGAGCCGGAGCTTCGGACACCACTAGCTCTGGTCTCTAATCCAGTCTCGGCCACCAGAGAGCCGGCAGCTGAGCAGATGAGCCTCGTTTTGCTCATCTGTGCAATGGGCTGAGGTCACTGTCTCCCTCTCAGACTGCAGCGAGCACTGGGGAAAACTATCAGGGTGTGAAACCACTTGGCACGCAGCCGGGGCTCAGCCTGCATGGCTTGGTTATACCACAGCAGTAATCACTACACAGATCCCCATGAGAAAGTGTGTGTGTGAGAGAGGGGGGCTTTGGGGGCTGAGTGGACAGAGCCCCTCTGTGCCCAGGTCTGGCAGTGGGGCAGGAAGTCGCCAGCCAGTGGCCAGCCGCAGGAGGCGAGGTGCAGGT